TGTTCATTGTGTGGCTGTATGTGTGTGTTTGATGAAGGCTCTAGCATACCGGTTGTGTTGCTGCAGGATAGTGTGCGTCAGGCTCCATCAATATGACATGTCTTTGATGTGGAAATACAAGGAGCAAAAGCCCAGTCAGCCTCAGTCCAGTTCCCAGCGGGACACATCTACCACTGTGCATGTGCATACATGTGTGTATGAGTGTATGAGTGTGTGTGTGAGAGACTAAGAGAGAGAAAAAGAAACACTGAGAGCCACAAGCCACAACAAGCACTGAAAGTAACCACTGCTTCAATGTTTTTTTAACTACTATTCTACAAGGGAGGCAACAGTTGTGACCCGAACATTTCCTGAGCTAAAGGCACGTTGGACTCTCTGCTGTGAGGAGGAATCAATATTGAATCTAAATGCTGTTAATAAGCCTTTCCATGCCAGAATAATATCAGCATCTCTCTTGCTGCTAAATTGACACATTAATGTTCGGCTTGCTTTTTTGGCATGAACCTGTTGCTGATTCTGATGTTCAGTGTAGCATTATAAATATTTATGCCTTTCTCATTTTATCCTTCGGAGTCAATGCTCTATTCTAACAAATTAGGCATTGTTGAGAGGGAGCATTTTAAGTGAAGCTCAGTCTAGCACTTGAAACTGACTGCAGTAGTATTTTTTGGATGAAGCACTGAGGTTCAGTTTGACTAATCAATGACACTGAACCATATGGTGCTGTTTATGGTGCATTGGTCCCTAGAAAGGGATTTTTTCTTTACAAGGATCGTTTCAGGACTTTACCAAACAAACACCCCTGCATTACAATACAGCTCTTTCAGGAGTTTGGATGTTGAAAAGATATCTTTCTTTGGCAAAGTTTTACTTTTACATCTATCTGTCGGGGCCCCTGAGTTTTCACACACAAGTGCAGTGAGGGGGAGGTGGTCAAAAGAAGAGATAAAGGCAGTCTGACAGAAGCAAGGGGGATAAATCAGGTTCAGGCAGACAAGGAGATAGAGACAGGGAAGAGGAAAGACAGAAGGATGAGTCCATCCGTCGGGCCTGTGTGTGGGCTTGCTGCTAACCTGGACTGTGCCATCACTGCTGCTGTTTCGGTAAACACTAGCTTGCAGGGAGGTAATCCGACCAGCCTACCCTGTCGGTGCTTTTATTCCCTGTAAGCTACACAAAGGCCTCTTACACACACACACACACACACACACACACACACACACACACACACACACACACACACACACTTCCATGTGAGCATATGTACAGTAAGAGCACAAATACATCACACACACACACATGCGCATGTGTTATTTATATCCACATGGAAACAAAAAATGTGAGTTAATAACTTGCCTAGGGACACAGAACAATCCCTGGACCTCAACATGGACGCCTACCAAGATGACAGAACAAACAAACAAACCATGAATAAATGGCACTGTAGAGAAACACTGCCTTTCACATGATAATTGAAGATTTTTCACAAAGAACAATATCTTGGTAACTGTTTAGCCCTGACAATCACAGGCCACATGCTGTACCACCAGCCTGTGTATGTTGCCAAGGCGACTGCATATGAGCACTAATAATGTGTATCTGTACCCATGATGGTGTGGCAGGGCTTGACGCTAACTTTTTTCCCAAGGAGCACATGTGTTCCTAAGTTGAAAAAGTAAGGAGCGCACAAAGAACTTTAGGGGCACAATGTAAATTGATCAAATAATGTGTTTTAAATAAAAAAAGTGATGCAAATAGACATTTACAAGCAAAATTATTTAATAAATTTATATACAAAATGTACAGAAAGGTAAAATCATCAAGTTTTGAAAAAGTATTGCAATTTAATTATGTCTTTAATGTTATTATCTTATATATATTATCTTTGCAATATGATTATCTTATATAATGTTATTACTATCCTAAAACATTCTCCAGGTCCTCCGAAACTCTGCAGGACTTAAGCCTCTTTCACACAGAGCTTTTGCGGCGCCCACCGCGGGGTTGGGCGCAGAAGACAGGATTTGAGGGAGTACAGGCTCATTCAGGAGCTACAACTCCATGGTGACCGCTTTCGGGTCTACTTCAGGCTCTTCTCTGCTATTGGACGCGCGGCGCCGAGGTGTCGTCACAGCTTGTTGTGGTGAAATTAAAAAAATTTCAATTCGAGCGCAGGCTGGCGGCGCGTGCCGCTCAGCTCGGCGGCAGAGCGGTGCGCTCTTGCGCCGCGATAGCACATACACAATGAATGGGTTCGTTGGCGGAGGTCTGCGCTTTGCGCGCTCTGTGTGAAAAGGGCTCTATTTCCACCCTGCCCAGCAGCGGTACCATGGCAAACGGTCCCTAAAGGCCTCTACACATGATCAGCTGTAAAACCGCTTTGTGCTGGCTGTCCCATTGTTTGTTTATGGAGAGGGCAGCAACGCCTGACAAAGCGGCACCTTGGCGTCGCACATGATATTCATTGACAGTGGCTTGGAAAACCGCCCATAACCGTGTCACACGGGGAAGAGGGAAGAGGGAAGGCGGCTGGAGTTCCTCCAGCAGTTGCAGTTAGATTATCATATTTTTTTTATTGACAAAAATATAGGCTGCTTCGGCTGATTTTTTTATGCGCACATGTGCCCCTAAATATTTTTCACAGTTCGCACACACCTATTTTTAGTCGCAAATGCGAGTGAAACGCTCGCACTGTCGAGCCCTGTGTGGACAGGAGACTGCTGCTTTAGTACGTAAGCATAACATACAGTATAGAAACACAATTATTCTGCTCTCTCTTGAGTGACAATGACCGAATCATTGTATTCATCTGTTAAGATTACCCTGTCCTAACTCCCACCCTCTCTGGTTACTGTTGTCAAGCCTGTGAAGCTTCCGCACCCGGCCTGTCAATATGGCATTTTCAAGGATATCAGTGAGAGATGTTATAAAGGAAGTTGTAGCAAATGTATGGAATGACAGTTCAGAAATATCAGATGGCAAGACAGGAAGTCTACAAATATGCATTTGAGAGAGTTGGGCACCATGTGTCTTGACAATTCATGTGAAGAACAAACACAAACAGGAACAACAAAGTTCTTTCACAGCAGGGTCAGTCAGTGTAGTGTTCTATTTAAAGCTAATGTTTATATGCTAGCCAAACTAAATTATCCTGCGTTTCCATTTCTCTACAGGGCAAACAGCCTCATTGGTATAACAGTTACCTAACTAAAAGTTAAATCCAAGTAACTCATCATTATTCAACCCTCTTTGTTTGCCAACCGCCAAGCTGTCTAATGTTGGTTAGCGTCTTACCTTGGACCAAACAAAGGAGTTTCTGTTGATCTTCCATGGATCCAGTTGTGAGTGATGTCTGCCACGTTTTTAAATCCATATCTGACATCTCTCCTGTTGCATTTTTTGGGTACAGAAAAGCGAGAAGCACAACACTCCCTTCTAAACTTAGAGGCCATCACCTGTCAGACTTACATATGCACATTGTTTCCGCATTTTCCCTTGTTTTGAAAGCCTGACAGACCTCCTGTGCCAAGTTATGGTTGTTAACATATGTAGTGTGTCCACTTTAGAGGTTCCAAGATACTGCCATCCTAATATCAGCCATAACTACCATATGAGTGCAGCACAAAGTAGTGGCGATGAGCTTGTCAGTGGGATACACACAGGCACTAAAATGAACACGTGGCTGGACCAGCTTACCACAACAAACTACAGAGAAGCTCGGATTACAACACACAGAGAGGGAGTGCGACCTCATTCTCTACTCTGGATGCCATTACTTTACTATATCTTTAATTAATAAATAGGTGTTTGTTGCCATATTAATGCTCTAAATGCTGCATATAAAACCTTTAATGTAGTTGTACACTCACAGTTTTTATTTTATCAACGACATTACAGCTTTGCTTTCTTTAGTTTTCATTAAAATAAAATAGTAGCTTACCTGTCAAAACCTCTGGCTGGTTTTTACCCTTGCTGATCATTTGTCTGCTGATGCACGATCTGTTGGACCTATTTTTAGAAATCTTGCCGCGTCATGACATCTCAGCAATTACTTGTAAGTACAACGTTATTGTAACCAATGGAACTGATGGCCAGGGCTGTAAAAATAAAACCAAATTTCCAACAATTTAATTCCACATTATAATGATAAGCTTTGAGCTATTACAGATATTACAGCTATAATAACTATAGCCTCTTAAGAAGGAAGATGAAAATGATTGAAGACGCAGCAGGTTGTTGGACACTATTGCTGATACATTGGAAATGCTGCTGCTGGAGGAGTCTCTGTTGAGGGTAGTTTTCTTTTTCTTTTTTTTTGTCTTTGTTTGCAAGCATGTACATGCAGGTGTATACAAGTTGCCGGTATGTGTGTGTTGTGCAAAGTTGTGTCGTACTCATCCCACACAGGGTGTGTGGGTCTTGGAGCGTCCAAGTGGAGTCTCCATGAGGTCAGTGGCTGCTGTGATAATGCTTAACTGATGCCGGCTGTCAATAGCCATTCACCAGGAGAATAGTGCTCCGCCTGTTCAGTAAATTACACAGTGCGACGTGAGCTGTGAGGTTCAAAACAACCTGACCCCACTGTTGTTGGGAGAAACAATAGAACAATGACTGCAATCAGCTTTTCCAGCAACCATCTGTGTCATGCTGCTGACTACAAAACACCTTTCCATTACTCCAGGGCTGCAACTATTAGCTCACCATGCCATTGACTCCAAAGTGAGTTGGAGAGGTTATTGTAATGGCACATTAGATTGTCTCTGACCCTTCCTTATCCAGAGTTTTGTTTTGTTGACCTTGACATAGGTGGGCTTTTTGAATGCTATAAAGCCTCTGAAGTGATCATTTCTCACAATGGCTTGTTTTGTCACGGATGAACACGTTTGTGAGGTGTCATTATATTGCTGATTACACTAGCTTTTAATATGTATATCTTGTTTTATTTTCTCTGTGCTTGAGACATGTTGTTCTCCTTTTTCCCTTAACTCTGTCCTCCTCACGGCTTCTCCAAGCATGCCCGGGAGCAGTATGAGAAGCTGTCCACGATGCACAAGAACATGCAAAAGCTCTACGAGAGCATTGGCAGCTTTTTTGCCTTTGACCCTCACTCGGTGAGTGTGGAGGATTTCTTCGGAGAACTGGCCAACTTCCGCATGCTCTTCATGGTGAGTATATAGCTACTTGGTTTGTGTATATGTACATGAAAAGTCTAACAGAAGCCACCACCCACTCATGCACATTCCTTCTCACACATCTCCATTTGCTCACACACATTGGGTGTTATTGAAATGTGAACAGAATTTGCGTGTTGAACATGCACACATTTTTAACAGACTCCAAACTGATGGAGAAAACATGTGCGGACATTACAGTGTTATGCTTTTATGGATGGAATTCATGTGGGGGCGGGGGGGGTCTGTCCTGAATATGTGATTATATCGTTTAACAAGGTTCAAACTTTTTCTAATAGAAACCCCCAAAACAAGCTTTAATGCCCCAAGTGGCACCTCAGAGCTACTGTGGTGGGTTTGCCAAAATATTGTCTGGTAATTTAAGTTAAACTTTTTGTTTTTGTTTTTATTAAAATATCTGCACGAACCTAACATATTATTAGCAAAGATAAATTGGCCTATTCATAAAAAAAGTAATTTACAGTACACAACACTGATGACAAGCAAGCTGTTACCAACGAATCATTGTGCAATCATGTTAGCTAGTTAATGCTAGTTAGCAAACTAGTTAGCTGACGGTTACGTACAGGCTAAACATATCGGTCAATTGGCTGTGTTATTATTATTCCAGGATTACAGACATTCTTGTGAGCCACCCTGGAGCGTTATTTAACTTTTCAATCAAGAGACTCATCCATCTCAGAAACAAACATGATGTATAAATACATGAATCCGCCAATGATTAGTAATTAAGTAGTATTAATATTGTATGCACCATAAAAGAATATGTTTATTAATGGCACTTTAGGCCACCCCACGTGTTATTGTAGGCCCAGTTTAATATGCAACTTAATTTTATACTATATACAGTACAGGCCAAAAGTTTGGACACACCTTCTCATTCAATGCGTTTTCTTTATTTTCATGACTATTTACATTGTAGATTCTCACTGAAGGCATCAAAACTATGAATGAACACATGTGGAGTTATGTACTTAACAAAAAAAGGTGAAATAACTGAAAACATGTTTTATATTCTAGTTTCTTCAAAATAGCCACCCTTTGCTCTGATTACTGCTTTGCACACTCTTGGCATTCTCTCCATGAGCTTCAAGAGGTAATCACCTGAAATGGTTTCCACTTCACAGGTGTGCCTTATCAGGGTTAATTAGTGGAATTTCTTGCTTTATCAATGGGGTTGGGACCATCAGTTGTGTTGTGCAGAAGTCAGGTTAATACACAGCCGACAGCCCTATTGGACAACTGTTAAAATTCATATTATGGCAAGAACCAATCAGCTAACTAAAGAAAAACGAGTGGCCATCATTACTTTAAGAAATGAAGGTCAGTCAGTCCAGAAAATTGCAAAAACTTTAAATGTGTCCCCAAGTGGAGTCGCAAAAACCATCAAGCGCTACAACGAAACTGGCACACATGAGGACCGACCCAGGAAAGGAAGACCAAGAGTCAACTCTGCTTCTGAGGATAAGTTCATCCAAATCACCAGCCTCAGAAATCGCAAGTTAACAGCAGCTCAGATCAGAGACCAGATGAATGCCACACAGAGTTCTAGCAGCAGACCCATCTCTAGAACAACTGTTAAGAGGAGACTGCGCCAATCAGGCCTTCATGGTCAAATAGCTGCTAGGAAACCACTGCTAAGGAGAGGCAACAAGCAGAAGAGATTTGTTTGGGCCAAGAAACACAAGGAATGGACATTAGACCAGTGGAAATCTGTGCTTTGGTCTGATGAGTCCAAATTTGAGATCTTTGGTTCCAACCGCCGTGTCTTTGTGAGACGCAGAAAAGGTGAACGGATGGATTCCACTGTGAAGCATGGAGGAGGAGGTGTGATGGTGTGGGGGTGTTTTGCTGGTGACACTGTTGGGGATTTATTCAAAATTGAAGGCACACTGAACCAGCATGGCTACCACAGCATCCTGCAGCGACATGCCATCCCATCCGGTATGCGTTTAGTTGGACGATCATTAATTTTTCAACAGGACAATGACCCCAAACACACCTCCAGGCTGTGTAAGGGCTATTTGACCAAGAAGGAGAGTGATGGAGTGCTGCGGCAGATGACCTGGCCTCCACAGTCACCGGACCTGAACCCAATCGAGATGGTTTGGGGTGAGCTGGACCGCAGAGTGAAGGCAAAGGGGCCAACAAGTGCTAAACACCTCTGGGAACTCCTTCAAGACTGTTGGAAAACCATTTCAGGTGACTACCTCTTGAAGCTCATAGAGAGAATGCCAAGAGTGTGCAAAGCAGTAATCAGAGCAAAGGGTGGCTATTTTGAAGAAACTAGAATATAAAACATGTTTTCAGTTATTTCACCTTTTTTTGTTAAGTACATAACTCCACATGTGTTCATTCATAGTTTTGATGCCTTCAGTGAGAATCTACAATGTAAATAGTCATGAAAATAAAGAAAACGCATTGAATGAGAAGGTGTGTCCAAACTTTTGGCCTGTACTGTATGTAGTAGGGGCTCTCTGCTCCGTCTCTCTTTGAGCGAAGAGGTTCTTAGCTTGTCCCAGAAAAACGCTGAAGACCCTTGCTTTTATTTTCATACTCTCTGTGCTGGAACACCTGTATTCACCTTTTGTCTGAGAAGACTTCATTTTAGTGCCTGTCTCTTTAAGACCCTATCCCAAAAAAGCCCAGTCTGCACTGATTGGTCAGTGTTTCCAGCTCTTACGTATGTGTGCGTCTCTGCACCACCATTGCAGCAAGGGCATGACTATGACAAAGAGTAGCAGCACTTACAACTTTGAAAAATCATCACTAAAAGCTTCAAACAAAACCAGACATGTTCCAGTTGGAATATGGTCCGAAATTGTGCCATCAGCTATCAAGATCACGTTTCTCTGACGTTTCCCTAGCATGTAGCCACTTGTAGCAGTGTACTGGCAGACAGGGAATGACTGAATAGCGGCCCTTTCTCCCATTAAAAATCACCAATAAAAGCTTTTAAACACAACCGGACGTGTACCAGCAGAAATATGATCCAATATTGGGAAGAAATTAAGAACATGAGCCATCAAGATCTTGTCCCCCTGACGTTAGCATGTAGCTACTTGTAGCAGTGCAGTGGCATACAGGGAATGACTGTGAATAGCAGCCCTTTCGCCCATTCAAAATCACCTGACGTGTACCAACAGAATTATGACTCAAAATTGGAGATAAATTAATATCAGCATTCGAGATCACATGTTTCTCTGACATTAGCATGTAGCTACATGTAGCAGTGTAGGCTAAGTACTTTAAAGTTAAACACTTGCAATAGTGTGCCTGGAGCAGATGTTCATAAACTTATAATATTTCACAATGAGAAACACTGTTATTCAGTATGTTTACGATGCAAAATTAACACACATGGGCTGATAATGTTTTTCTTTCTTTGTATCTGTATAGCATCATGTTGCCCATTACAACCACACATCTACCTGTATCCACCAGGCAGTGTAAAACCCAGTCTAAATTTTAAATAAAGCATCCTGGGGAAGATCAGATAACATGTCTCACTTTCCCCACTGGACGCAGAGTCTTAAAATAGTTTTACTGAAAAAACAAAAAAAAAAAAAAGGACTATTTTATGCACCATTATTTTGCTATAGCCCGTTATGTTTAGTAGCCCCTGTAAACTTTTAGCTGAGGTGAAGGCGCGCAGTCATGTCAGAAAAGATTATTTTTTTATTACTGATTATTTAAAAAAAGAAAAAAAAGTGGTGTTTTCTCTGTGTTTCCCTGTAGCTTACTCTTACAGGCCCCTGTTATGACAGATCTGCTCCAGGGACACATAAGACATTATACAACTGTAATCTGAAAGTGCAACAAGGGCAGAAACACTTCCTTCACAGTCATCTTATGGTCCATCAAGATCTGTGCCTTTTGAGCCAAATCAGCTGCTAGTTGCAGTTCTGGGAAAGATTTCATTCTCCTCATCTCAAAACTGCCAGAAAGTTTTTGGTTTGGGAGAGTGCACCACATTTTCTGGCCACCTATTTTGGTCTTTTTATTCCCTTGGTTGGCCCTGACATGCTTTTCAGTCTTTCAAGTTCTTGCACTGTTCTCTGCAAGACTGTAACCGCGCTCACCTGCTGTGTGATTTCCTTCCATATGTCATCTTTTAGTAGGTCATAATGCCACTGTGTCTGCCAGAGATTTTTTTTTTTTCAGGTATCACAGACATAACCTCTTTTTTTTTTGTCACTGAAGTTTTTTTTTTCTTTTTTTCATTTTCTTCAATGCCATCGCAGCCTGGAAGGTTATAAATATAGGTCTCCTCTTTGGGAACATTTACTTTAAATCCCCCTACATACTATTTATAATCAGTATACAAATAAATGGTTAAATACAGATTATAATGTAGTTGTCACTAAGCAGATAGGAGCTCTTATTTATCTATTTGTGAACAACTTATCCTGTGGGCATCCATGAGTGAAGGCTTCTGTATAAACAGATAATGAATGACAATAGAGTTAAGTAGTAATAATATAAGATATGTCTCCATAGCAGAAGTCATAGTGGCTAACATATAATGCACATTAATAAACACTTAAATGTTCTTTCATCTGCTCCCAACTGCATTATAATGTGTGATAAACAATCTATTAAATGCTTATATACTGTACCACTCACAGGGGGTTAAATTAAAGTGTTACCCTCTTCTTTTGCTAAACATGGTGCTTCAGAGCATATTTTTTTAATACCTTTACTTATGATCATTTTGTTCCAGTTAACGTACTGTAAATGTACTACACTGTACATTCAAATGGGAAACAATATTGAATTATTGACTTTACTTGAGCACACTAAGTTTCAGGTTCCCTAACTGCAGAACATAACTTGGCTGAAAAGTAGATACCTGTGAACTTATTCTTCCCACCAGCACTGCTTAAGAAATGTCGAGTACTGACTTGGGAGCTGTTAGAAAAAAAGGCAAAGTTATAAAACCGATTAAAATATATTATTTGAAAGTAGCTCAG